TATTCTATTCTATTCTATTCTATTCTATTCTATTCTATTCTATTCTACTCTACGTTATCTTCCCTTCCATATTCTATTCTATTTCTATTTCTATTTCTATTTCTATTTCTATTCCTATTCCTATTCCTATTTCTATTCTTATTCCTATTCCTATTTTTATTTCTATTCCTATTCCTAATTCTATTCTACTATGGAACTTTGCTCATCAGAAAGTCACAAAAATGGGATCACATGACTCCCTGGATGCTGCAACCATCATAAATGTGAGACAGATGCCAAGCGTCTGAATTTCGATGAGGAAACCATGGGGGATGCTGCAACAGTCATAAAGTGTGAAAAACGGGCAAAAGTCACCTTTTCAAAAGCGTCATTGCAACTCTGAATGGACACTAACAGAACTGTTGTAAATTGAGGGCTGCCTAATTTACTAGCATTGGAATAATCTTCGCCTTTGCTGCTTTAATTGTGGGAAATGGATAACGACTCGTGGACTTTAAAGTCTTTTAAAAAGAGCAAGGGCAACGATTACAGACTTTGGGGAGGAATTAGAATTGGCAGGATGCGCATTTTGCATTTTTATTCCCCTTTTACAAACAGCTCCTGCTTTTCTGAAGCAGGGGAGTCGGACTAGAAGGGCTTTTAATGTCCCTTCCAGCCCTGCAATTCTTCAATTACAGATAGTGTTTTGAGTATTGTAGCGTAAATTCAGTGCCAGAAAAGTAAACCCAGAAGACTGAGGCTTCATTTAACTTCTTTATAAACATATAGAGTAAATTTTACAATACCAGTGGTAGATTTCTCCAACATGGAGCAAACTCGAACAGAAACAGACATCAGTTTCACTTTAGTTCAGCAGGCAAACAGAGGAGAGAAGCAATTTCATTTTCAATAGAGAAACTCAGAGCTTAACATAGCTTCAGAGCTGCAGAGCTTAATATAAAGCCATGCCTAGGCTACTTCTAGTTTCGGTTTCCAGCCTAGACTACTTCTAGTTTCAGTTTCCAAAACAGTCCTCATTGGCTGATTTAGTTACCATGCTTATTCATTGGCTGACCTTGTTACCATGCTCTATTCCAATTCATGAACATACCCTGACAGATAGTCCTCGCATTACGACCACCATTGAGCCCAAACTTTCTGTTGTTATGCAAGACAGTCATGAGCTTTGCCCCATTTTACAACTGTCTTGTCGTGGTTGTTAAGTGAATCACTGCAGTTACGAAGTTAGCAAGCGGGTTGTAAAGTGAATCTGGTTTCCCCAGAAGGTTGCAAAGGGGGATCACATGACCCCAAGACATTGCAACTGTCATAAATATGAGCCAGGGATCAAGAGTCCATATTTTGAACACATGACTGGAGGGATGCTACTGTCAGGTCTCTGGCACTTAACCCCATTTAAATCATGAGTCTCTAGCCAACTTCCAGAACTTAAAAAGGATTTATTGGGAGTTAGCATGCCAGTGCTACCTGGGTGTAGCCAACTCTGAGGCACATAATTCATTGTCACCCTTGATCCTGGTTTTTCTCTCACCCCTTAGGTGTGTTAATTCATACTCTACAATGGGACACATCCATAGCCAAGAGTCATCAATCATCCTGTCATGACTCCAAGGTGGTTTCTGTGGAACTGCGACAATTGAATCTGTGTTCCTACCATACTGTGGTCATTAGTCTCCTGCAGGGCTGGCTGTGGAATCCTGTAGGTGTGAGATCATTTTCATACAGTGCCTGGACTGATCCTCTCTGTGGCTGGCATTTTCCCCATAGCGCAAGGTGGTGATTGCAGACGGACGCAGGTCGATGACGTCAATTGCCTGAATAATCACTGCGGCGGAATGTGGCTTGCTGAGTGAAGCGATATGAACCGCGGAGGAATTGTCGGGTGGTGTGGGTGGTGTGTGGTGCTGGTGACGGTGACGGTGATACTGATGTTATTTGAATAAGAGTGAAAGCCTGTAAATTTGACGGTAAACGGTAACATGTTACGAGCGTACCCTGGTTTAATGATTATTCTGGATGGTGTTAAAACAGCAGCGGCCGGATGTTGGCTGCATCGATTAATTAATTAGATAATATGTTACATGCATAAATACAGCTCTGGCTGCAGGTAAAGCCAGAGCTGACTTTAAACTATTATGCTTTGTTGTTACTTGATGTTTTGGCATGGAAGAAAAATAAAAGTTCACTACTTGTCCAGCGTGAGTGGTCATTTCATCGCATTAAATCTGGAAGAACAGCTGAGACATGCTCTCCAGTTAGACTTTTGCACGGCAGAAACTTCAGTCACCTAGTTACTATCTTTGAAAACATTTATGGAATGCAAGCTGACCACTTTTCCCCACTCCCTTTCTGTTGGAAAAGACCATAGAAATATTTTATGAGTTGACATTTGCAATGATTGTAAGTGTGAAAAATAGTCAAAAGTCTCTTTTTTTTTCAGTGCCATTGTAATTTTAAACAGTCACCAAACAAACGATTGTAAGACAAGGACTACCTGTATTTGTTAACCGTCTGAGGTTTGCAAATATTGTAAATTAACCTGCAAAAGGCTGGGGGAAGTGTTAGAAACTCTTGGAAGAAATATCCATCTGATTCAGTTCCAAGCTGGGAGAAAGACACTGGAAACACGGAGGCTGGTTGGAAAGATGAAGCAGAACCACTTGGGTTCGAGGTCCTGAGTAGCTGACCACATGGAGTGGAGAGTGAGGGGTTTTATACCTTCTCTTGGGCTTTGCACTTGAGCTTCCTATTCCTGTGCAAGAACATGTATTGCATTGGCTGTTGTCGGGGGTCAGAGCCGGCTCTGTAGGTTCTCTGAGCTCTCAGGTTTGGTTGAAGTTTGGACTCTGATGCAATGTCCTTAGGAGACTGTGCAATCTAGTGAGCTCTGCTGTTAGTGGGTTAATCCTATTATGTCCTGAAGAATCATGTCTTAATCCCGTCACCCTGGAGCTGAAGGTCTTTTCTTTTGTAGATAGGCTGGCCCAGTCCTTCTCAATGGGCACCAAAATATCTGCTGGGAGCTTTTAAGAAAGGTGGGGGCTGCTTTCTGTCTCCAAGAGCATGTTTCTCCATTTCTCACCCAGGATAATTTAATAATCTGCCTTTTTAAGGTTTCTCAAAATATTTCATTCTTCTAGGAGTGGGATCGTCCGTCCAAACCAAACATCCCTTTTTCTTTTCCTCTTTGTGTGTGTGTGTGTATGTGTTTAAACTGCTGTCACATTTGCTTTGT